AAACAAGGAAGTGGAGAGAACACCACCACCTGTTCCACCTGTTTGGTCTTCGAAAGGGATCTTCGTGGTCATCCGAGTCTTCTGGGGGCTAGGAATGCCCATCCATCCGTTGGCCGTGTCGTGATGAGTTCAGAAAGTGTCGTGTCTAAATGGATGTCAATGGATTTCAATGGCACATTTGGCTGCGAGGTGTTCTTGATTCTTGATGGCACATAGCTGCTATGTCGGATCATGTCAAACATGTCATAAAAGATGCTGAATGGATTTCATGGCACATAGCCATGGCCGCAACGACATGTCATGATTCGGACGGCTCGACATGTCATGTCGGATCTTGAATAGTACATGGACCCCCGCTACTCGTACAAATTACTTATTCTCTAGGGCTCCAGTCATACCTCCTCAGGTTCGGTATGACTGGACCCGAACATGGCACGCACCCCAGTCCCACCCAACCGAAACGAAGGTACGAAACGAAGGTATGACTGGAGCCCTAGGGATAAGGATTGGACATGACGTACTCTTATTGAACATCACCTCCAGGACGAACGAACGCCGTCAGACACCGACGCTGGCCGCCTCGCATCGGCTACTCCTGCCAAACCGCCTCCCTCCATCCGTCGAACGGACCACACAACCGCGACACCGCGCGCGCGGTGTTGCTAGCTCTAGCAGGTCTTTGCTGGTGCCATCCTCGAAGTTACTGCTTTAGACGTCCAAGCGTCTGCACGCTGCCAGCCGGGGGGATCCAGCGCAACGCATGCCGACGATCGAGCTCGCGCGATCTTTTAGGTCGCGGAGGTCGCGCGAGGAGCCGGAGGTCGCGGAGCTCCAAAGCGGTGAGGGATCGTGGCGTTTAACAAAGTCGATCTCACAATACTCAAAGTCTCAGATAGTTAGATGGAGACTGGAAGTTTGCACAAGAGCCTTTGAGTCTAGGGCCCGCATCATAGGGCATCCAAACTCTTTAGGATCCTTGAATCTGGATCAACAGCCTAGAGCCATGTCACCCTGGGTTGTATGTTTGGAGCGCCTGAGAACAGGAGATCCAGCTTTTAGGCTTGTGTACGATGCCCGGATACGGATGCCCAATCCACAGAATCTTATAATATATAATAGCCGTGTCATAACTCTCCAGAACCACATATTACTTGAAATGGATCGCATTCCACATCCTTTTTTCCAGTCTTTGCCCGCGTTTTCCACCATGTCATCACTTCTTGCACCGTGTCATTTTCCAAGCCATCACTTCTTGCCAATACTGGCACTCATACGCCATATACGCACGCCCACGTATACCCCCACGAGCCACGCACGACCCCCACGAGCCCCACGAGCCACGGAGCCTCCCAGGTTCCGTGCCTATGGCAGCAACGGCCGCCTGCTCTTGGACGCTCAGCGTATCGGGGCACGCTGTGGGCCCAGCGCGGAGCCCACGAACCCGGTGCAGCTGGGCGAGGGGGGTTCGTTTGGTTGCGGATCACAGCGAGAAACGTCGAATCATAAGGTACAGATCCCCAGAAGCATGGGTAGTTGAAGGCCTCAGACACTGAATTTCACTGAAGGCCCAATGGGTTTCGCGGAGTGAAGTAGGTACCTCTTTGGTAGGATTGAGGTCTGAAGAGAGTCGAAACGGGGCCAGGAAAACCAAAACCATCCCTTGACCCATGTGAGTTCCAGTCCAGTGACATCCTCATCCATCCTCATCCATCCAACGTAATTGCCCCCGGACCGGTCCCCGCCACAGCGATCGGTCCCTTAGGCAGCATTCCTTCGGTCAATGGCTCCAACGAGACCGAGGAGGTGCGTCGATGGTGAACAAAGAACGTCGACTGCCCAACAACGACGGCAGACGAACGAAGCTAGCTTGTCTTTTCTTGGCCGCAAAGAAATTGGGCCCTTGATTGTATACTAGTTTAACATCATACACACGGAGTGTTTGGGATAGCTTCGACCTGGAGATTCCAGTTGGTACAGCTGAACCCTCCAAGAAGAGCCACGTCAGACATCACAAGACCGTGGGCCAGTTCCGGTTTCTTGGGTGCGCTCACCATGTTGTGAGCCCGGACCCTTCGACTCTGAAAACCGTTGACAGGAGATGGAGGGGATCAATGGAAGAGTCCTTAGACTGTGAGAGAGAGAGAGAGGGAGAGACTGATGTTGGGGTTAGTTCAATGATTGGTTGATCGCCGAAGCACTGAGTGCTGAGTTCTGTCAATCAAGAGTTGCCAGGTCGCAGACGCGATTCCAAATTCGTGGAATATCTTTCAGGTCATAGTGAAGCGTTTGCGATGTCTGGGTCTGGGTCAGCAAAAGACTAAGCAAACTGGAGAGGTGTAAGCACGGGCCTGGATAGATTGAGGGAAGCTAACTTATCACAGGTTCTCAGGCAATGCAGGGCTTCTGCAAACACGGAGTACGTAGATTCTAGATATGTACTTGCAACTTTTGGCCTGCTGAGAGGGTCCAAATACCTGAGGTACCATACCTGCACATACTGCAGAGCCGTGCCCAAGAATCATCGATGACTACATGACCGGACTGGAGCTTAGTCACAAGTTCTGGCCACCTACTTCAATGTGTATAATACACATGCTATGTATAGCAGCATATGTATAGCTGCAAGGTTCTTCCGAGCCTAGCGGCTTCGTCGACTGATCAGGGCTGGACCGGGTCTCTCGCAAGTTGGGTTGATTGGAGCCCTCGATCAACTGCGAGCAGAGCCCCCTCTAACCTCCCTCCAGACTCCATAGACTGGAATTGATATTGACCGCATTGACTCCGTTTTGCAGCCACGATGTAGTCATCGATTCCAACAGTGACTGGGCCCGTGTCTTCGTGGAGCTTCTTCCGAACTCAAAGGACCCAACGAGGTGTGAAAAACGGGTGTCCCCGATTGGCACCAAGCTTAAGCCGGCCTGGATGGCTATCGGTTGATTGAGAGGACATACCCCAACAGCGTATAATAATTAACATAACATACCCATTGTACCTTGCATATCTTGCATCGGCACAAACATCATTGAGTTGGTTGATCTTCGGAACGGCACAACATGTTATTTTACAAGAAAAAACATGCAATTTCGGTGTTCTCTTTTTTTTAACGAGGACGGTGTCTTTTGTTGTGACCAGCGGAAACTGGCAGAAACCAAAAAGAAATTGCATTTTTAGGCTTCCAAACGGCGTCTTTCCCCGTATTTCCCCGTCCATGGATTTTGAGCACTCGTTTGCAACCCCTGAAACGGCAATATGCGTTGAGTACGGTATGTTTTTCACTGAAACATGCCTCCACCCAAAATGTGTGCCCTTTGAAGATGCAGGGGTGTGTGTGTGTGTGTGTGTGTCTGTGTGTGTGTCCATCAAGTTTGGCCACCAGGACGTTTGGTAAATGATTCCCAAGTCAGGACATCAGGTGTCTATAAATAGCCTCTTAGAGGTTAAGGGAAGTCCAAAAAACACATAAAAACACCTAATTTTGCAAGGTCCTAGTTGGACATTCACTTTCTTTACCCGGACCCAGACCCTCTCCACACGAAAACCATCGACCCGGAACCGCATCCTCCGCCCTGCCCGGAACCGCCCAGTGCCCGAGCTGGCGGTGTCCGTGACGGAGGCTGAAACGCGGAAAGCTCCGACCGGGCAGGGACTGGTCGTTGGTCGCTTCGAAGCGATTGGGAGGGACCAATTTGGGGGAGTGTTTGACCAGGTTGTTATAGCTCGGCTCATCGCTTGAGCCGGGTGTGGATCCAAATAGCTATATAATTTCGGTTCAGGCTAGATGAGCCCATTTGTTTTCCCCACGGGATATGGTGGCCGCTCAGAGGTTTGAAGTGTCAGCGATCATGTTGGATATGAGACTGTTTGAGGCCTAAACTTCTCTAGTTCGAAGTCTGTAGCAGATTGGGACATCCGCAGTATCGACGTATCGTTTTCTCGTCACTTTTTGTGTAGCACACGAGAACTGTACTTAAACTGTATAGAGGTTGAAACTATAGGGAACTTTGATCCAGACTTCCTCATGTGGAAAAAGCGTCACCCAGAAAAAACAATAGTTTCTCATGTTGCACGATCGATACTCAGTATTTTGGAAGAGCTTTCGCCGGTGCATATCCCCAGAAACAGTGATAAGACCCCTCCAATTTGCTCCTACAGGGCAGTTGTGGAAGCAGATTGCTGTTTGCGAAGTCATTGGGATGGTAGCGATGGACCTGGTCCTTCCAATCATGTCAGAGGAAATCCACATGGCGAAGGCAACATTGGAAACAGACCATGTTCCAATTATCTTTTGTTAACGTTAGCCCAGAAGCATCCAGAAGTACTGATTCTGCTACACAGTTCTGAAACCAAACCTTCATCCCCTCCCAGGCCGACGTCACGGGGGAGGAGTTGCGCGCTGGCTTCCACGGTTTGGGGGTCCCAACGTCCACGGTGTCGGAGTCGCGGTGCCATGCGGCGAAACGGTCAGCTGACGTCAGGTCGTCTCACATCCTGCACAGACACGGAAACAAGGGGGATCAGCTGACGAGTTTCGTTGTTCGTTCTTCGCTCTTCGGAGTTTCGTTCTTCGCGGAGCTCCGAGTCTCACATCCTGCACAGACACGGAAACAAGGGGGATCAGCTGACGAGTTTCGTTGTTCGTTCTTCGCTCTTCGGAGTTTCGTTCTTCGCGGAGCTCCGACCCATTGAGGCACTTCCCGTGTACGTTGCCGCATTCCTGACAGCTTGTCCTTGGGCGTTTGGCAGGCCGTGTTTTGGACGACGTTCAATGAACCGGGCACGCGGCAAACTGGGCACGCGGGGAGGGCACGCGGGCACGCAACACACGGTGGAAGTTTTCGCCGAATGTAGTTGCAGAAGCGAAGAGAAGATGGTTTGTAGAGTCAGCTCCCACTTGAGGGATTTGCATGAAGGAGCGCATGACATGAAGAGCTCCTTCGTTGTTTAAGTGCTGAACCTGCTTTTGTTTGTTCTGTGGCAGAGAAAGAGACGGCGACATAATAAAGTCGATTGGCTCAAGCGAAGCGGTTTTGGGTCAGCAAGCCACGAGATTTTGGCCATGCTCCGCCTTCTTTTAATCGTGCTTGCTTGCGCTGAGACCCTCGCACAGGACAATGCCACGAACAAGACGGACGCAGACAGTGCTGCAACACTCACTGGTGTCACAGCGAATGGACCAGGTGATTTGAAAGCCTTCATTGCAGCGCTGATCCTCAACAGCATCATCGTGCTGGGATGTTTGATTGGCTTTACCTTCTTGCGTTTGACCTTCCCCATGGTCTACTCTCACGAGAAGGCGCGAAGCAAGGAGTCCTTGTCTGTAGCAGGTGAGGACAGCAGCGACAGCTCCACAAGCCGTTGTCGTGAGATCCGCAGTCGAATGGCCGATTGGCTTTCCTACAGCATCAGCACCAGTACTGAAACTGCAATGGAACGAGCCGGCTTGGATGTCACTGGGATGAAGTCTTTAGCTGACTAGCAGTGTATACCCTAGGCCCCGCAAAAGACTGTTTTGTTGTTTTGTTGGGGCAATGTTTATGAATTTTTATGCCAAGCTCACCATAAGCAGCACAACAAGCAAACCGTTTGGTGTCGATCTTTGCTACTTCTGCCTTTACGCTTGGTCACTGTTGAGTCACCATGATCCAGGTTTCACGCTTGGACGGGACATCCCACCATCTGAACGATCATCATCGATTTCTGGCGAAGGGGTTCCAGGGGTTCCGGTCCAGTTCTGAAAAAAGACTCCCGTCCCTCCGAGTCTTCCTCCTCACCTCCTCACCTCACCGCTTGCATCCGCTTGCCTTTTTTCATTTGACGCGGTTGGTCTGTTGAACTGGCCTAGGCAGCACTGTTGAGAGACTTCTGCACCTTGGGCGCAACCATCTGTGCTGTGATCGGCATCCCCATGTGCATTGTCATCGTTCCTATTAACTCTGTCCTCGGTGGAGCCGACGAAGGCGCGGTGTCAGACATGGCGATGTCTGGGCCAACATGAAGCTGTTCCAACATGTTCCAACGATTTGTTGGAAAGGATGACATGGCTTTTTGGGAGTCTTTTGAAAGGCACAGGCCGAGTCCCAGGGGCCCGTGGAGGGTTCCACAGGCGTTGTAGGTACCTTTGTAGGTGATATGTCACAGTTGGGTGAAGAAGCGCCAAAGCCGTTGGAGGAAAGGAACCATGATGGAGGAGATAGAATGACCAACCCTGACTTTGACCCATGCTTTTTGCGACTATGGCCTTTCAATTGACTTTCAGAGAGGGTTGACCTTTGCTTTGCAATGCTTTGCCTCTTCAGTTCTCGAGAAATCCCACCAAATTCAGTTCATTCGAGGCGACGATCATTTGAGCCTGGCAGAGATGGCGACCATCCGTGAGAATCATCCTTGGCTCTTCTATGTCCATGTGCCCCGACAGCGGAACATGGCGCGGCTGCGGCCACATCCACTGGATGTGGCCGAGTGCGCCACATCAGTGGAAACAGAACTTTAAAGTACACACTGGACCAAGAATAGGAACGATCTGAATTTTGTGGTGTAAACGCTTAGTAAAGCCGTAAAGGCTATATACAGGCTATTGGCGTCCTTTCATCGTTCTTTTTGGAAGATGGTCCTTCCCCAGGAGCGTTCTGGGGGTCCGAATCTGGGCAAGTCCAACCCAACGAAGTGTTTGACTTCCGTGGTTAACCCGCCAAAAAAGCCAGAAGCTACTAAATATAGGAACAAAGGGCATCGCCACTAGAAGCAAGGACGCTACGAACGGGGCGCTCCTGGCCGTAATACTAGGAGCAAGGGCGCTACTAGTAAGTAACAAAAAGGAGTGATGTGCAGATCCAGATGTACCAGGACATCATGAGAAACAATATGTATGTACCGAGGGCCCGCGGTTTGATGTGTTTGATGTGGTGATTTCCACAGTTTTCACGATGTTCAATTTCGATTCACCATATTTTGTCATTGGATACTTGAAGTTTTGCACTTGAGTCAACTAGAAAGTCCTCAGGCCGTGGTGGTGTGGCTGGTGTGCATCATCGTGCATTTTGTCTTGACCCGCGCCCAGGCCACTGCCTGGGATGGATGTTGGTTTGGTTTCTGGAAGGGCAGTTCGGCAACTGACCTGCCCCGGTTTGATCCACTTTTTGACAGAAATGTCCCCAATCCAGACAACTAAATACATGGAAAAGCATTGATATGCAATTGTTTGTCCATGGTGTGTTTTCTTCTTTTTTGTGTAATTAGGCGGTAGGAATTTAAAGGAGTCCAAGACCTTGTTTCTCTAGGTTTATCAGTGCGTGTTAATGCAAAGAAGAACTTCCATTTTCGCTTGTATGGAGATGATTGATGATTGCTTGTCTTTCTCGCGCCGCAAAATAAGAAGCGCAACAGATCACAACGATCTGAGTATTGAATTCACATCTTTCTTCACCCAAACGTCCCGACCGTTGTCTCGCCGCCGGACCGGCGTGGCGGGCAAGCGCCGCCAGCGGCGAGGCCCGCTTCTTGCGCTTGCGGGTGAAGTGGTTGACCCGAATGCCGGCGCCCCGCTGCACCACCGTCTTGGTGGAGAACATCCCCTGTGCCTGGCGATCGGATGCCAGGTGAGGGCGAGGGATGGGAGGGCGTCGCTGCGTTGCGCGAAAACGCGGGCTTGCGAAGTGCGAGAATATGTGGGTTGCCTTTTTGGGCCATCCTAGTCGGATGAAGTTCTGGAATGAATCCGCAGAATGAATCTGCATGTATATATTTGACGAAGTGAATTGTGTTTAGATATTCATCCACTGCCTTCTAGTCGTCGAGATCGTGATGAAGTTAAACTCGGAGCGGGTGGCATGCCCAATCCCAGCAGATTCCTACAGGTCCGCCTAGTTGAACTTCATTGAGTAGTGTTTTTGTATCATCGTCTTCAGTAAAATGAGGTATTTGACCTGTATGGGGATGGTTCTATTCATCCTGTTGTGCTATGCACAACTGAGCACGTCAGAAGGGACGGACGATCCCCCGTGATTTGACACTATAAGGACGACATTCCATTTTTGAGTCATGATGTTCTAGAATTCGAGACGAGAATGGCCGGAAGCATGCCCATCGAACAACAGCAACAAGAACCGCCGCGGCCGCCCATCGCGTGTGCTGCATGCTGCGCCGACACCGGTCGTGTTCACGTCGACCCGAAGACGTCGAGTCGAGCGTCGAGGCTTCGGGAATTCTTTGGAAAGATCTTCTCGCCGGAGGACGTGTTGTCGTGCCACATGGTGAAGCGTGAGGAGGAGATCGCCAAATTGGTGTCCAAGCGAGAGACCTTGCAGCAAATGAAGAGGAAGGCCGAGCTGACGTATGAGAAGACCCAGCAAGTGGAGATGTTCAGACCCAGCTCTTTGATGACGGAATTTTGCGCTAAAAGCTCAACGAATTGAGCGGAATAAAGAGCCGAACCCCCCACCATCGCTGTTTCGAGGACCAAAACATGACATCGATGATCATCGATGTTAACTGTTTGTCGAAGACGTCGACAACTAAGAAGATCCAAAAATTATAGGATCCATGATCCATGAGTGCTTTTGAACATGTTACACACCTCTTTTTTGTTGCATTCCTTCACGATTCACATGGACATTCAATTTTACCATCGAAGAACGGGTCGTCCGGTCGAAGAAGGAAACATCGACGCAAGATTTGCTTAAGGTTTCTGTGGGAAGAAGGTGGAGACCTTGGAGTATTGCAACAGCAACCTTGAGGGCTTGGACGAGGAGGGAGCGCCAAGAGGTTGCCATAATTTCAGAGCATTGGCATATATGGTGATTATTAATATATAGTGGAACATCACATCTTAATCTTAACAGCGGGGTCTATAAACCACCCAAACTGGGTTGTGCTGGAGGGGGGCCTAAGATGTTTCGATGTACCTTCGCTTGGAAACACTGCGGCGGTCTGACCTCCCCCAGAAAAGGTATTCTAGTTTTTGAACATTGCAATGTTACTGCATCCCAGACCAAGAGTCGAGTTTTCTTCGCTCCAACTTCTCCAGTCTCTCCCTTATCTCTCCCTTCATGATTCTCGGCCTTCCTCACCAGTCTCCCTGCCAGGAGATCCGTGACTTGTGGCAGAAGCACCAGGAGGAGCACGAGCGCGATCCCACGGCGCGCACCTCGCACTGCGGCTTCGTCACCTTCCAGCACCGACGCGTCGCGGAGATGGCGCAGAACTTGCAGATCTCCGCCGACCTCAAGGACCCTCCGGCGGTCGGTCCTGACGCGTGGGAGAGCCGGACAAAGAGCGGGAAAAGCTATAGGCCGGTTCCAGGCTGCAGGTGCAGGATGTTCTTGGACATGTTGTTTCTACATCTTTCTACATCGCATCCTAAGGAATTGAAAAGGCAAAAGGCACTCTTTTGAACCAAGAGTACCCAAATCCTGCATGCCTTAGACGTTTGCAGCTTAGTGCTTTGTCACCTCCGTCCTTCTTTCCTTTCCAGCCCCCCGCTGCCACCCGTGGTTTTTTGCCACGCTGCTTCGAAGCACGCGCATGCCGCGTGCTTCGCATTGCGGCGCATGCCGCCAGGAGTGGAACGTGTCGGCCGCGCCGGTGTCCCGGGACATCCGTTGGAACGACCTTCGTAAGAGTCGAAACCTCAGCAAGGGCTCTGCAGCTCAGCTTGCGTTGCAGGGGTGGGTTGGAAGAAGAGGCCAGGTGGACATGAACCATGCACGGATCATTTATAGATGGATAAGGAGTGGTGAATCGAAGGCACGGAGGTGTTTTTGTTTTGTTTCTCAAGCATGAATGCTAGTAATGGTCGCAATCAAGAGAGCAAATTGTTTTTCAGGGTGTTGGAGTTTGCGTGGCGATTCTCAACGTAACTGAAAGCAAGATCAAGAGATGATCCCCAATACGATCGCCGGATTTCCGTGACGATTCTCATAGTGTTCGCCAATTCATTCATCCCTCAAAACGGCTACCCGGTCCAGCGGTTGGAAAGGACTACACTCCAATCATCATCCAGACACGACCCGTCTGGGACCGCCAGTCCGGACTGCCGGGAAACGGCCAGGGGTGGTTGACTGGCGGGTCAATGGCGCGGCAGTCCTGGCAGTCCCATCAGTCGTGTCCGGGTCATGGAAGTGGAAAACAACCTTCATATTAAATGGATTGACTGAGGAGATCATTGGCTTTCTGGCCGTGCTGGGGCTCTATGTGTCTCGCATTGCATGGAAACGGGGCTCTTGCTTCTGTTGTTCCACTCCAAAGACTTGTCAGCTGCCTAAGAAGCAAAGTCTAAAGAAGCTAAGACATAGGAAACATGCAGAAACACAACAAGACAAAGAACCATGCAAAAACAATACAAAACATAGCTTATTTAGGATAAACAATGATAAAAAGGGAATGGCAACAGGACAGCCACACAAAAAGCACAAGCGGACTGGACAATCTGCGATAGAAACCAGCACTTCCAAAGGAAGAAAGGGAACACAACATTTGTCAAAGAGGCACTGCAACAGGCAACTGTTCACTGAAACCCAAGCAGAGGTTGCATGAGGCATAGACAAAGGCCAGCACAACAGGGGTCCCTGGGTCGAGACCGCTGGTCCGTGTTGGTGCTGGCCACCGGGGCGGCGGCGGTTTAGGTCGAAATGGCTTGGTTGAACCACGTTGAAAAGGAGTCAAATGGATGCCTGAAACACCATGCAGAACCAACAATGGTGAAACTATTATATATAGAACCCATTTGACCTTTATTTTGATAGGAAAAGACCGTATTTTGGGGTGGTTGGTGATGCATCGAGGATCAGGTTCGATATCACTTCACCGGTGCGGAGTCCGGGCGACTCGATGCGTCGAAATGCGTTGGAACGGAGCGAACGGTCAGACGAAGCGAGAGACGCGGAGGTCGACGCGGAGGTCGAAGCTATTGCGAGTTTCTTCTGAGAAAAGCATGCGGAGCCGCCGAGGGAACGCGCTTTTGGTTTTCGTCCTTCTCACGTCGCGGGCACGTCAGAGGGTCAGTACGGCCCGTGCTTCGTGGGTCGTCTCAGGGTCACTGGATCAGTGCTGTGCTTTCCCCCCGAAAAACGTGGACTTTTTTTGCCCATCGTGGGGTCACTGAGGTGGGTTTTATGCCCATCGTCATCTTCATCACCAACATCGCGAAGCTGGTCCATCTCGGACCACTCCAGCCCATTTGGCAAGGCACCCGGTGACAGTTGGTTCCCGAGAGCTGTTGAAATGCCGTCCCCTTGGATCGGGTGCTGGTGTTCGAGGACGAGCAATGGCGGGCGCACCCATCACAGAGGGGCGATTAACAGAGTGTGCAGACATTCTTCAGGGGAGGCTCCACTAATCATGAACATTGTGGTTCCACAGAGAGTGTGGAAACCGAAGTTTGTTTTATAGGACATTGGAGTGAGCCTTGTTCTGGACCACCATCCCAAAATACAGCCTGTTCCCAAAGCCGAGGTCAAACGGCTTTAGGGCACGATCGTGTTGTAATATTTTGTGCTTTTAATATTTGCACTCTGCGACCGCGCGATGGCCCACGGTGCGCCTTGCCAGGGTTTGCCCCCACCTTGGGCTTGCTGCTGTTCTTGTCCCTGCTGCCCACGGTGCTGATGATCATTTTCCGCACCTTCTTCTCCCTGAAGGATTGGGTTTTGGGAGAATGCTTCTGGAGGGTTTTGGCATGATGAAATGGTGATCTAACATCAGGTGACGGTCACATACAAAAGCCAAAACACAAATTGGAATCGGACGTCCTGGAAGCAGCGACCGTACCAGAAACAGTTGCTGCGGCACCCAAATAGTTTCTTTATGTTTCTTCTAATTTGGGCATAAAACAAAACTATCGCTCCAACTGGGCTTTTCCACACTGTGCTTCGGCTGTCACAGGCGGATGCCTATTCTCAGCACAAGTTGCAGTTTTGGTACTTCCTGTTCCAGCTGATCTTCGTCGTGCTGGTGACGACCGTGGGGAAATCCATTGTGGATAGGGCCAAAGACATTTGGAACGATCCCTCCTCGGCTCCGCAGTTGATGGCTGAGAGCCTTCCAAATGCCTCGCACTTCTACATGACCTACTTGGTTCTGCAGTGGGCCAGACATGCTATGGAGATGCTGAGACCCTCAACACAGTTGGATGGAGGATGACAAGAATTCAGGGTGAAGAGCAGTTGTTCCACTCAAACACACCCACACACAGAGACGATGATTATTGATGTGTCTTAGAAAAAGGTTTGCTATTGATTTGTCAATTGTCTAAGGATTGTCCGGTTGCTGCAGGCGTTGTAACTCCCCACGAATCCAATGAAGCAACTGTGATCCCTCTGAACAGCACACAGCTCGTGAGCAGTGTCTTCTAATCCCGTTTTTCTCCGTCGTCCGATGAATGGGGCTGTTCGAAGTCCACGGTCCACGGTCCGCTTCGGTCCACAGGTTGATCGGGGGAAAGCAGCTGAGGATATGTGCCTCTGTCCAAATTCTTGCTCTTCAAGACCATTTTCAGCGCGGAGGAGGCCAAAGAGATGTCGGAGCCAGAAGATCAGGAGCGAGATGCGCGCAGCATTCCGAAACATCCGCAGCATCCGAACGATGCCACAACATCGCGCTTTTGCGACCCCGGTCAGAGGTCTTTTTCTTCAGAACACCTGGCTAAGCCATGATATATGCTGATGTATCTAAAGAAATCTATAGAGATATCAATCTCAGGATTTTTTCACAAGGCGACACCAGTGACGTCCCGGCAAACAACGTCGCGTTCTGCGAGTTCGCCAACCGCGCGAGCCGAGCGGCGGGTCCAGGATTGCTATGGCTTTGGAGCCCGGAATGTGAACCTTGCAGTGAATGTGGTCTTGGGCATTGTCTTCTGTAGCATCTCCCCTTTGGTGACCATCATGGCGATGTTTGACCTGGCATTAGCACGAATCACCTATGGCTATTTGGTGATTTATACAGAGACCTGGTGAAAATCATAGCGATTTGGATGTGTGTGTGTGTGTGTGCCCCTACGTTTCTAGGAGTTTCTCCGCGTTTTCCTTTCTTCCTTTTTAGACAAAGCAGGGGGGCAGGAGCACCATTGCAAGTCTCCTGCCAACAAAGACACTTGCAACTGGTGGTGATACCAGACCTGATCAGCCTGGCGTACCTGCTGACTAACACACCGACCCAATGGTCCTCCCTCCGCTGTTCTTTGTTTCCATATAGTGGTTCACATGCTGTTCCCCCAACCCTCTTCCCGCAGATTTGCCGCTGAGTCACCGCCGCTTATATATTCTGCAGCCACGCGCAAACAATGGTGAACATTTCAGTTGAACTGATTTTGCGCCTTTCCGTTCCCTCATCCATTTTACTGTGGATTCTGAATAACTGCAAACCCTGTGACTAAGTGTGTGTGTGTGTGTTTGTGGTGCTTCTTTGGGGCACATGCCTGAAGGGCGGACGGGAAGTTCCCACCTGAATGGTGTGCGTGGTTCAGCGGGATGCGGCCTTGTCGCATGGACAATGGCTCAGAAGCGGCCTTTGCCCCCAAAAAAACAGTTAGAACAGTTAGACGTCGTTTTGGATGCTTCGCCCTCGTGCGCCAATCACGCCAATCCAAGGAGACCAAGAAGCCCGATTTGGGTGGAGTTTTCTGGGCAACACAGATAGGCCTGGAAAATGGTTTTTTGTGTGTGCTGTGTAGGTGCCTGTCCTGATCCCGCGATGTGAAGTTTCTCTTGTGGGGTTCTGCTACCGTATTCTTGGCGTCCATTACAAGAGGGTGCAATAAGCCAATAAGCGTTCATAGCTATAGGCTATAGGTGCGTTTAGTATCAGTTTCTGTACGAATGTAATATTCCTTTGCCCTCCTTTTTTGAAAAAAGGCAACCCCAAACAATTCCTTTTCTAGTTTGTCATTGTTGTTCCTTCACCTCAGATATCACCTTGTCAAGTAAATCAGCACTTGCAGTGGCTTCTCCTTCCTTCATACCTCTCAAACCGGCCAACCTGCTCATTCAGATGAAACCATGAAACCACCTGGCAGCCTCCCCTCTCACAAACATCCACGCTCCCCACCAGGTTTGGTGAAGAACAAAGACAACTTCAACTGCCGCCCTTTGTTTGCCCGTCAGGCTACATTCAGTTGGCCCTAGCCCTCTACTGCATCTTCATGGTGGGTGTTTTGCAGGCCAAGTCAGCCAGCCATGCATGGGTGGTGGCGGCTCCTAGCTTGCTCTTCGTTCTTTGGTCCTTTGTGCACATTCGACGGGCCTACCGCTGGGAGAAGCTGCCCTTCCAAGAAGTGGCCTTCCAGTGTGAGGAGACGGTCGAGACGGTAGTTGTAAAGACGCTTGTACGGGGGGTACGGTGTATACATCGCAATCCTGAATTGGCCTTGACGTGCGACAAGTATACGGAATGAGGGAATGAATTCGGAATGGATCCAAGTTAGGAGGATGTTGAGCGCTCATTCCTGCTAAGCAACAGTTAGATGAAAGTATTTGGATGACTCATATAAGTTCAATCTGATGTTGTAGTAGTTCTCCTAATAGTTGTGCCATATACCCATTTTCTTCTCCCCAGTCCCTCCGATTTTGTACCAGTGATCGATGATGGCAGGAGGTCTTAGATGAAAAAGACTTTGAGGATGTCGCTGGTGACTGCTACATCCAGCCAGAGTTAGCTGCCCTCGAGTCGGTGACGCTGACCGCATAGAGCCGGTCACGGCACCAACGCTGACATCTGCACGGAATTCGCCGTCACAGACGCGGATGGCGGTGTTCAGAGGAGCAGAGAGCCATTTTTCATGCTTTACGTGAGCCCCCAAGTTCCTGAGCCAGATCCTTTGGTGCTGAACCCATGGCAACGACTTCTTCAGAACTCTCAATGCTCCTGTTTGCCACCAGGATGCAAGGACGTCCTGGCTTTCCCCACGCGCCCCATTGTCCAGCCCAATTCAAGCACCGACCATCGGAGCCGACCATCGGTGCTTCTGGCGTCCACGAAGTGCTTCGTCTTGGCGTCCATGCGTCATGTGGCTCTGTTGATGTTTGCATCTTGCCAAGCTCCGCAGGACGTTACAACCCTCCGAAGATGTGCACAAAAGACATCATGATGAGCGCAATGAGGATGTTTAACTGCTGACAAGAGATGTGCACTTTGACATCATGAGGATGTAACTGCTGAAAAGGGTGGGTTCAGCTCACCAGATTCACCGGATCCAGATCCAGCGGCGCCCTGTAGGTTGGATTGCTGAACTATGACTCCTTGTTCGTCGTGGCACAGAACTTCGTATCGTTTCAGGAGGGGTTGACAGTGAACAACGACGTTTCGTTTCGTTTGACCTGTCTCCCAGTTTTCCGTGGATGCAGTTTGAGAAGACTGTCATTTCACTCAGCGCCTTCTTAAAGCGACTTTAGATGCATTTTGGGGTTAATCCTGCCCGAGAGTCAGTCAACTTCTCGTCGACCAATCGACCGGCAGGTTCTTCAGAAGTCCATCGTCGGCCGCGTCTCGCCGAATGCCACGGCCTTGGGAAGCAACACGCCGTTGGTTCTGCTGGGGATCCCAGCGGGTCAGAGAAAGAAACGCCCGGACGGGTCCGGGTCCTGAAATGGAGAGGGAGGCTCAAGCGGCTCCAGGTGAACTTGAGTGGCTGGAATGTGTGGACTTTTGAGTGGTGGAAAAAGAAAAAGCTCGAATTCCGGGTGCTGACTGCAGCCCAACTTGTGGCGGTTCGGGTCCTAGACTGTCAAGACACCCATAAGTCACAAGTTACACAGCGTAGCAGTGTGTAGCGAGAAGATGGCATGTATAGCCAGGCCTACAAAACCCAACGTCGCCGGTTGCTCCGCGATCGGGATCACGGCATCACGGCGTGGCACTGGCCGCACTGGTCGCTCTCACAGCAGGTATGGTGGACCCTTGGGAAGCCTCTTGCGGGAGACCGAAGGTTCCAGGCAAATTCGTGGGCGAGTGGTGGAGCGCGAGGTCGGCAGGAACTTAAGAATTGCTGCCGTGAAACCCAGCTGGACCACAATGTGGGATCATGTGTAACACAACCATAACATACCATAACCATATTTTCACCAATCTTTCAACTCTTTCTTTGTGTTTTGGAGCTAGGATTGGAATCCAGGATTGACTGCGAGTGTGGAAACTTCAGTGAACCCTTTTCATGTTGCCCTTCGGTCCCGCCGGCTCACGCCGGCATGCTCACCTTTCCACGCGGCCAGGTGCATCTTCCAACCGGATGGCTTTGATGGAGAAGCGGAATCGACGCCATGGGCAAGGGGACCTGGGACTGGCAGGACTTCCAGTTGTGGAAAAATGTGGGACTTGAAGTTTGGATGATCATGGAATGTCCAGATAGGTGTGCCGAATGAACAACTTTTGGGACCTTCACGAGACAGTTGGCAGATGTTTTCCCATCATTTTCAGCCATCGAAAAGACCTGGGCTCCCGGTTTGGAGTCCAAATTTCTTCACATTCTCATCGAGTCCTCACAAACGAAAAACACAAGGAACAGACAAAGAAATCTATTATACACATTTATATTCCCTCTTTTGGAGGATCAACTAATTATCCTAAAACAAGCCTTTTTCCCGTTATGTTTTAGTTATTTTAGTTCCAATATTGCTCCAAACCTGGAATTTGTCTTAGGTGGATCCGTTCAAGAATCCGACTTCCACCGCTGGCTGTTGCTGAGATCCTGGACAGTCAACGAGTGGCATGCTTCCCACCAGCCATTGCCGGACTTCCCGGTGGGCGGAAGGCGAGGGTCGGGCTGGGGCTGAAAGGAAGGGACGGCGACGGTGTGATTCTTTTGGAGAGAGAGGCGACAGAGAGGAGAGGGAGGGAGGGAGAGAGAGAGAGAGAGAGAAAGAAAGAAAGACAGACAGAAGGAATGAAAGAAAGAGGGCAAGAAAATTAAAAAAAATACATAAAGAAATAAATAAACAACGAAAGAACAAATGTAAAGAAATTGTAAAAAACAAATAAATAGAACACAATATATAATCAAAAAATAGCAATACAAAAAAGTGGAAGGGAAAATCCAAGAAAAAACAAACTAAAAGAAAGAAATAAAGAGAGAGAGAGAGAGAGCGAAATAACTAAAGAGAGAGAGAGAGAGAAAGCAAGAAAGAAAAAAAAGAAAGAAAGAAAAGAAAGAAAGAAAGGTAGAAAGAAAGAAAGAAAGAGAGAGAGAGAGAGAGAAAGAGAGAGCGAGAGACAAAGAATGAAAGAGGGAAAGAGAGAGAGAGAGAAAGCAAGAAAGAACGAAAGCAGGAAAGAAAGAAAGAGAAAGAGAGAAGGCAATACAGAAAGAAAGACAGAATGAAAGAGAGAAAGAGAAAGCGAGAGAGAAAGCAAGAAAGAAATACATAAACACATAGTAAAAAACACCATAAACAACAAGACAGCTAAAGATAAAAACATAAACAAAAAGCAACATAAATGTAAATAACGATAAAAACAAACAGAATAAAAAAAACAACATAAGTGATAACAACAAAAACACAATCAAGAAAGAACAACATAAATAAAGAAAGAAAGGGATAAACAGAGAGAGAGAGAGAGGGAGAGAGGGAGGGAGAGAGAGGGAGAGAGAGAGATAGAATATGGAGAGAGAAAGATAGAGGGAGGGGCGGGAGGGGAGAGCACACGATGTACCAAACGCTGACATGGCACATTTGCGTTGGCTCTGTGTTGTTTGGTGCGTTTGGAAGCTTCCATGTTGCAAGAGAAAAAACTTCAGGATCATAGAAAATGCAACACGGTCTTGTTTTGGTGTAGGTGTAGGTTGACATTGGGCAGGATTGCTTGAGATCGGACCGGGCTGACTTTCTTATGATGTGCTTGCAGCAATGTAGGTTGCTTCGGGCCTCTTTTTTGATGTTTTTTTTTGTGGGTTGGAGCAGACTCATGAAATCAGTCTTGCAGAGTACGTCCATTTTCAGGAGTTCCAAGAAACGTTCCCAGCCGACAGCCATTTCCCTACGGATCCACATACCCTTTGAGAAGGTCATTGGAGGACACTGTTATGTAGGTGCCAGGAGGGTCCAGTCGTACCGAATCTGAGAAGTTACTTTCCTAGATCCCTAGGGTTTCCTGATCATGTTCTCCTCGTGAAGCTGGCCCGGCGCCAGGTGAAGATCACTCTGAGGATCCACGGGACCTCCATGCCCTCAGAGGCCCCACGATGCGGACGCGAAGGGCGTGGGTGAAGGGCATGCTGAAAGGGCGCCCGAACGGTTTGAGACGGGGATGGGTCGCGACCCGAGGTCGTGCCCGGACCTTTCAGTGTCCTGGATGCCATGAGACCTACCATGTGGGATCTTTGGGCGATGAACTCCATTTGAAAGATCCTGGTTCCTGGTCTCCATTTGAGAAGATGGGTTTAGATCGTTCTTTTTGAACGTTTCTAGATCCCAGGTGACGCTGTTCGTTTCGATCACGTCCGCCATCGCCCGGTGGAGTGAAGCATTGAGTGTCTTTCGGGAGGACCCCAGCGAAGGTCCGATCCTCCGACTTGTATAGGATAGGGAATGAGGGTGGCTGGATCCAAAGGAATCTTTATTGGGAGCGACACTTCCCTTATTCCCGGCCTCCGACTCGCAGTCGGACATCCGACTGGCCCCAGAAACGAAGAACCCCCCCGCTCGCCAAAAAAAAGCGGCTCGCGGCCACAGCGGCTTTGGGGTCGCTGTGAGGCCTCTTTCCTCCTCTATCCCCAGCGGGAGCTCTTCACTGTGCCCTTTGGAGGTCGGACTGTGCCGAATGAGACCGCGACGTCGCCATCGGCGCGCTCGTCATGGTACGGTCCCTTTCTTCGATTTTGTTTCGTGGTGGTAACGTCTGGGTGCAAAACGCTTAAGTGGTGGAACACCCTGCACAGCCATGGAAAAGACTCCTTCCTTGATATATCAGTGGTCAATTTCAGAAGATTTGTCCGGAGATCCTGCCAAACATCACCATTCTCAGGGTGTTCTTCTCTCTGCATGTGGAAGGACGCTTTGTTTGCGCGCAGGACAGAGCAATTCCACCATCGTACAGGTGAAGGCGCGTGGGTTTCTGCTTTCGAAATACACCCGGGAGGTTTTGAAACCCACATGCGAGGCACCGAATGACCATGGACCTGAAGACGAAGACTTCCTCTACAACCTAGGGACCTAGTGGTTTTCAGGTTCCATGTGCGTCTCGGAACCAGAGCAGACATCACAGCATATCACAGCTTTTGATCGACGGAGTATGACGAAGTGCAGGTGATTCACTGTCGACCGTTTGCCCCCGATCCATAGCATCTATATGCTCTAAAGGTCGACCAAGTCTGTTGATCTTGGGGTGTTTTGATGTATTTGTCAGATGGTGTTCAGTTTTGAACCCCAGAGCTGAATGTGGCCAGCAGCTTGTCTACAAGCAGTATGTTGATGAGATTAATATAAGACTTATATAGATGTACAGTTCCTTTCCTGGAGACATCCAACTGCAGCTCAAGAACTCTAAGTCACCCAGCGTAGGTTGTGAGGAGCATGGAAGCTTGGACATGGACACTTCATGGCATTTCATGGCTTCATGTCCAGCATGCAATTCAAGGTCCAGAGAATTGGAAGGTCCAGAAACCAACCCGAAGCGCACATGGAATGAGCGAGAACGTGGAAAAAGAAGTGAATGCAGCCAATGAACACAAAGCAGGGCTTAAAAGTAAAAGACCTATATAACATCCGATCCCATATCACTGTGTCCGATGTCCGCTTGAGTGATCCTCGTTTTTTTTGTTTTCGCTTCTTCCCTATTAAAGTCACCGCCAGCCTGAGGTGGGATTGGTGGGCGAGGAGAAGGGTTTGCACCAACGCGGTCGCGCGCGCTTCGCTAAGCCTTCGCTTTGGTTGGCTTTTAGTGGGATTGTTCTGGGAGAGGTCGAATTGCATGGAATTCCCATCATCTCACTGAAACACTTAAAGCCAGTTTATATCATCCCATTTGTGTGCTTTTTGGGGGGATCAGATGTGCTTTTGGTTCATGGAGGAGCTGTGGGTTTGAGTTCTTGGGTCCATTGCCTTAAAGCCTTAAAGGCATCTTAAAGTAATACAGCCCTCCTCCTTGGCCAACTTCACGTGGCGTGGAATCACAAAAGTAGACCTACCAGGGTTCGACAATGTCTCATGGTGGCGGTGAAATCGAACAACCAAAACAACATGATATCTCCCAGCACCTTCCTGTCTGGCTCACAAAATGGAAGACCTACACTATACGTGCAGATCCCTATCTCCATGTTCATCCCCCGTCCGGAAGGTACAGGTACTGAACGCACGCCAGCCTGTTCAGCACCGATCCAAACCGGTTCCACAGCACCCCGCGAGGAGCCGCAGATGCCGGTCTTTCCCGTGAAGCTTCTGGCACAGAACACGCAGTTCCAGGGCCCGGTACGCCGAAACTTCCCGGCAAGTGCGTGGCCAGGGGGAGCAAGTGGAGATCCGGTGATCCAGCAAAAGTGCATGGATCGGAATGGGAGAATGTTGGAACTGAAATGCACCAATCAACACCATATATATATATATTTATATGTTGTTGTTAAAAAAAAGAATTACGGAACTTCTTCAAACAACTCAGGATTCATGGAACTTGGCTGGAACTGCAAATGTTGCGCAATTGTAATTTGATAGATAGGTGCTGTTTGATGTGACGTGGACAGTGTCCTGCGGCATTGCCCAAATCTATGGGTCACGCCTCGTGCAGATAGCTTCAGATCATCATCTCTCTTAGCATGCAAGTGCTGTCGTGCACAGTTCTGGGTTGCCTGGTGCACCCAAAAACAGCCCTTCGCCAGTCGTGCGCACATATCACTAATCTCAAACGTCCCAGGGGCATGCAAATTGCCTCCCCGCCACGATGTTGGATGCATTCACCTGGCCATGCAGGGGTTCCCCTCGTGCCAGGCGCAGGTGAAGTTATGGGTCACACCCATGAGCTACAGCAGGTGCGCGGCGGTGGTGTTCCGTGAAAAACGAAGGCCCCTAAGTAGCGATGTTGATGTGTTGGTCCGTGATGGACCAAATCTGGTTGTTTATTCCTTTTTTTCAGTTGTGAGTCTAATTTGCATCACAATCATATCTAAAATGATTCGACCCAGGACGGGTGCTGTTTGTGTTTCACTTCTCGACCTTAAGAGGCATGCCCACCGGCCCCGCGTGAGCATCGACCCGTTAAGGCGACGCCCACCACGTCACCGTCCTGAGGCCGTCCAGTGGCAGCGGATTAAGCTTGGTGGAGATACCCCTCACTGAGCCGCCTGGAGGGGCTGTGAGGAGAGCGAACACGCGTTGCACGGAAGCGGAAGCGAGTTCGCGGTGGATGAGAGGAGATGAGAGGAGTTTTCAAACTCGAGAAACCCTTGGTTTCAAGGTGGGGCGCAGACTGCCCTGCAACCAATGGTGGGTGGTGCATCATTTTCTGTCCGGTGAGTCGATCAAAGGGTGTTAGTTTTTCGTCGCTCGCGCAGTCCACCGTCCGCCGTCCTTCTTCGCGCCGTTTCGGGAGGTCGACACCACCGCGCGCGGTGCGCGCGCGTGTCGACCTCTGGGGCACGGACCGGGAGATCCTCCAAGCACCGGACGAAGGAAAATAGACCAGTCAGATATCTATACCCAGCCCGGGCCAGGGTGTCTCCCCGGATTGAAAGTACACATTCACATACATTCACCATCATTCACCCATCTGGTCTTGCAAATTGCATGCACACTTCTGGAGAAAGACATCACGACGACGACGTTGGTTGTTGCTGCTGCTGTTTTGCTTCTTCTGCCGAGGTTGAGCCTCCTCCTCGGTGCCCCTGTGGTCGACTACTCCGTGACCTTTCCGCCGGGCATCGTGTGGGATGCCCTCAGCCGACTGGGGCGGTACCTGTCGATGTATACCTGGACCCGATGCGATGTGTACCTGGAGTCTCAAAGTACCTCGGAAAATGGGTACAAGTACTTGTTTTTATGGGGTCATGTCCCATTTTCTAAGGTACTTTGGAGGGTCCAGGTAGATGTACCTGTTGAACCGTTGGACATGACCCGACCTGAGAATATTGGTACGACTGTATCCATTTTCTGAGGTAGGAACGGGTCGACTCCATGTATTTGGGATGAGGCAACAAGGGGGGTGACCTTCAGTCTTCACCAAGTGCTTATCTGAGCTTGTGTCATAGTTAGCCAGTTGGAGAGTTTCAATGATTTCATGGGTGACCACCTTTTTCATGATCGGCTCGGTGGCATAGTTCAATCAACTGAAGTTCTCCATGTAACTCCCAGGAAAGGGACTGACATGATCTGCTTTCATGCAGTGCTTGTTTCAGCTCAAAGCCAGACCTTTGACCCTGTCGCCATGCAAACGGTCCCATTGCGCCGCCAGCTGGACGCCTTGCCCGACCGATCCCACTTGCAAGTTGCGAAGGGTCACGACCATCCACCTCAGCCGTCTGCCGCCCACGCCGCCCCCGCCGCCTGTGCCACGGGCATCGCCGCGCTGGTGCCGCGCCGCCCCCCACGCCCGGCACGGCGGGCCAAGCGGGCGGCGTCTGCCGCGTCCACGGTGGCGTCCGCGCCGGCGAAGCACCTGGAGCTGCCGCGGGTGGTGGCTGCGACTGTGTCGCAGAGCTTTTTTTTGTTCCCTTCACGGCCATGCAACCGATGCTGGGAATAATGTTTGGTGTTTTGCTTGCTCTGAGGGTCAACGTTCTGAGAAGTCTGCCGGTATATTGCCGGTATGCACCTCTTTTAACAAGGATCAACGGTTTCTTGGACATTAATGAGAGCTCAGGATCATCCCTTTGCTGGTTGCCGAGAAGTTCGATTTATCGGCTGAACTTTGGGGAGCCTCCTGTGCTGCAGAAGGTCTTGCAAAGATCCTGTGTGCCGTGCCCTTGGCAGTTTGCTTGAAATCTTGGGGTCGAAAACCGGTCTTGGTCCAGTCTTTCTGGCTCCTGGCCCTCTCCATCCTGGCCTTGGCGCACAACAGCAGCGTGTGGGGGCTCATGGGCGGCAAATTCTTGATCGGCTTGGCCGTCGTGGCACAAAACTCTGCCATGCAGCTGTATCTCACTGAAGCTCAGCTGAAGTTTTGGTGAAATGAAAGTGAACCACCCCATATAATGTAGACTTGATTAATAAACCTCTCGTTTGAATTGGACATCCTCTTCAAATGGAGGGTTCATGAATCCAGAGACTACAGTAAGTCCTCCAAAGCAAACAACCTCGAACATGCCATAAAACACGGGCGACGTGGCCAGTGCATCCAGTTCGTGGAGTGGGTTCTGGGGTCGAAACCAGGCCGTGACCAGGCCCGCTGTGAACGGAGCGTCTGGCTTGACCATCCAGGACCCCAGTTTGTTCACGGGGGATGGATGTGGTTTCCGAATGACCCATCCTGTCGTGGAATAGCTCGTTTAGGCACTTGCCTGGCACTTGCGGCTGGGAAGCTAAGAAGCGTCACTGTTCCGGTGATGGGCGGCCGCAGAGTTCCTCAGAGTTTTATTTTGAAGGTAGAACGACTTGTAAAAGCCCTGCTGGAAAGCACCTACCAGCACCCTCACTGCTACTTGTAGGTTGTTGAGGGTTAACAGTGCCATAACAGCTCTCAATTGGTGACCTGTCGGAGGGTTGTGGTAGAAGGATTTAGAAGATGTTGGAAGGATGCTATCGGACTATCACTCGACCCAGCTGCATGCAAAACTGTCAACTATAGCCGCACTAGCATGCTCCTGGTCAAAACCCTCAAGATCCCTTTAGGATTCTTGGAGACCTGATCCAGAGTCACATATTGCCACATCCCATGCCTACTGAAGTCTAAGCTGCCTTGGCCCGTGGGCGTGGCGCCTCCCAGTTCTTCACCCGGCTGTTTTTCATGGCGAAGCGCCCAGGATATCTCCAGTACTGAGAACAAGAGCCGGGTCATGGCACCGGTCCTGATGGCTGAGAAGTTCCTCGGTTCCTCCGAGAGACTGGGCCGAGAGACGGAGAGTCATGGATGGGTTCCTCTAAGCTAACAGGTGCTTCTTGTTCCATCCAACCTCTACAATGACAGTACCTGGACCCTCCAAAGTACCTTAGAAAATGGGACATGACCCCATAAAAACAAGTACTTGTACCCATTTTCCGAGGTACTTTGAGACTCCAGGTACTAAGAATTAATAAATCTAGTGATGGCCTCCAACATACAAGAAGTGATGGCGTCCAACATACAAGAAGTGATGGCCTCCAACCAACCACTAAAGTGAGAATGCATGGACATGTTGTGAGGCTCTTCAGTGTGGTTGGGCCTTTAGTGGGCGGCAAGCTTCTTGAATCCTACGGAGTACATCAGGCGGGCACGGTAGAGAATGGTAACTCTCGAACTAGGGAGGATCACTGTGGATGGGCGATGGCCAGCTTCCAGTGATGATGTCGGCTTCAAATCAAGCCCACTTTGATTAGATTAGGATTGTCAAGGATCTCCTGCAGATCCCCAGCAAGGGACCTTTCTCTACAGCTTCTATAGGTTTTAGAATCATTTGACATCATCACTACATACAGGGCATAAGCAACAACGGAACCATTCTCCATTGGAATTATTTGTGGCCCGGGATAACTTAACCCAGGAACTGAAACGGTAGCAAACATTCTATCTAGTTGCGAACAACGACAAAGTGGTGGCAGAGGGATCTGGGCTGCTGGGGTCCTGTAGCAGTAGCAAGCCCAAGATAGCTCCAGATGTTCGCAACAAGAGAGACTCACTAACATGGAAGCAGAATACCACCTGTTTGACTTTCAGAACATGGTCCTTCTTTCCAGGCCATGCCCGCGAAACTATGGGCCCATATCCTCAGGTTCGGTGGAGGGTCACCCCCTCACAGCTGGCAGCCACCCCAACGATCTTCGAAACGGAGGTAGGCCAGGAGCGCTTTTGGGGGAGATCGATGCGTCAAATGTGACCGAAACTGTTCCGGCCCAGATCCGGTCCTGGACTGGAGGGCTGCCCTCCCCGGTCCCGCGAAGTTCCGCTCGAGAGGTTCGGTGGTTCGGTCCGATGTGTCTTTTTTGGAAAAGGCTTAGACAACCATGCATAATATATGTCATGATGATTGTATGATGAAAACGTCAATTTGACATGTATTGACTGGTAATTTTGCTTCTAAATGATCCTCCTCCCCACCAGAGCCCCTTGGTCATGTCTTCGATCTTCGAGGCGATGATGAAAGTCGCTGCAGCCACGTGACGCTTCTGCAGAGACCGATCTTAACCGGTGGAGGGTCCGGAGGTCCGAGGTGATGTCGGGCGGACAGAGCAGCTGGTCATGTCCCACAAAAGTAATACCTTTTGACGAACACGTGGTGAGGGTGGATGGCATGGATTTATTTGGAAGACGATGAAATCCTCAACAAGGGGTGAACTCCACTTCCATGTGATGTGAGTCAGAGTGTAAGGGTTTGGGTGTTTTCTTCACTTTTGGACAATAAGTGGCGCCAATCCGGCACATTCATATCATATCCATTCGCAAGCTTGCGAGACTCTTGCCTAGTCCGATCCTGGATTCCACGAAGGCTTTGGGGGGAACGTTCCAGGTAGCGGCTACTTTTGCAGCTGTTTGTTTGTTAAACTCACTGTTTTGAATTGTGTGCTATTCGGCTATTTGTGCAAATACTCAGGTCTATGCTGGCTTTGATAAATCAATGGATGCTGAAGGAAACAAAGCCAACCGACATTGGCCATGTCCCGAAGAAGACAGAGAGTGCGCTGAAGCGTTACAAAGAACTTTTGCAGGATGCACGCATCCGTGAAGCTGTGATTTTCTCAGCCTTCTATTGGGGCATTTTTGCAAGTGTCCTCTACTGCATAGTCCCATTGATGCTGGCTCAAGTCTTTGGCTATGGTGCTTGGGCTTTTTCTTTGGTTCTGGCTGCCTCCAACCTCATGTGCTTCTTTTGCGCCGGGCCTGTAGCCCAGCTTTCGGATCGCTTCGGGCGCAAAGCGGCCTTGATCCCAGGGATGCTGCTTGTGGGACTTGCACCCTTGCTCCTGGCTGCCGTGCCGCAGTTGCTTCAGAATGCAACGACTTCACTGCTGAAACCGCTGATCTTGTCACTGTCTGTGGGCTCCTTAGCATTGGGCATGGGATTGGTCGGGGGGGCCTTGCCGACGATCTTCACCGATGGCGTGCCTTCAAGACTCCACGTCGAGTCCTTATCGTTCTTAAGAGCTTCGACTGAGCTCGGCTCGGTGCTATTGACCCTCACCATGTCTTCCATGGTGGGATCCATTGGCTTCACTTGGCCATTGCTGGGTGGAGGCTTGTGTGCCCTCTATGCAGCTGCACGTTTTGCGCTGAAATACAGGCTTTGATGGCCAGGAAGTGTTTAAGATTGGCACAGTGAGCTTGGGTGCCTGGTCGAATTCAGCAAGCAGATGTGTCAATATGTTTGTGTGGAGGATGAACGACCAATCAGGCCCTCAAGTTCAGGAATAGCAGAATCATGTTATTACAACTGAGGCTCATCCGGGCAGGAGAGGCGCCCCATTCACAAAGAAAAAATGCAATGATGAAGCATGATGGAAGCTGTTTGTTTAATTGTTTTGCAGATCAGATGTACAGTTCTTGGGACTCAGAAGGAGACGATATATTTTTTTCAGAAATGGATGACAGGATAAATGACAGGATTTGGTCAAGGACTTCTTTGTTTTCATCTTACACTGCTGGATTTTGTGCAGGATATCCTGTCGTTTTGTCCTGTGCTCTACTTCTGTCTGCAATAGACTCCAGCCCATCTGTCGGCTACTGCCAAAGCGCATCACCAAAGACTCAGTGCTTTCAGGAAGAAAACTTCAGACTTTGATTGATTTGCACTGTACAGATTGAAGGAGTCGTGTTGATCTGTTTATCCCACTGAACTATTTTTGAGAAAGATCCATTTGTAGTACCAAACGACTGCAATCGTGGGAATGTTGTTTAGGATTGTTTTTGGGGAGTCTTTGTTCTAATGGGTAGTCTCGACGAAAACCAGGTCATAGCCATAGCTGTCAATACAGGTGCCCTTGTTCTAATGAGTGTTTATCGATCTCCGTTTTCGGATGTGCTTTCCGTGGGCTCAGTACGTTCGTCGGCTCGTTCGTACGTCCGCGGACCTCGGTACAACCGACTTCGGCCGAGGTTCAGCACCTACTTCATTGACCCTGATGAGGACCCGGTCCTTGGGGAACACACTCGAGTTTTGAGACGTGTCCGATGCGAAGAAAGCCGAAACATGCCGAAAGGATTTGCTTTTGGCAAGTCCCTATCCCTAGCGCTCCAAGTACCTCCTTAGAAGGTATTTTGCACCCTCTAAACCCACCCCAAACACCTTCTAAGAGGTCCTTGGAGCCCTAGGGTAGAATAAGAGTCAAGAAGCCAAGCATGTGTGCCAAAATAACGGTGCTGAAGCTTATTGTTCTGTGGCAACGGCCTGAGGATGGCCTGATGGCTTCTTTGAGCTGGTTTTGGAGCGTTGGTGGAGGTTCTAGCCTCCACACCACGCCTCAAATTAGGCTTCACAAGCTCAAGAGTCCAAGAGCCGCACGGTCTCAATCAACTGATCAAAACGTACAGCATCGTACAGCATTCTAGGATCCACAAGGGCATAGTATGTCAATGAACTCGCGACGTACACGCTTGATACCCTATAAATAAGAACTTAAGAATAAGCCGCCCCCCGTCGGCCAGTCAGTCACCCGTCAGTTCCCGGTACCGTCCACATGCCATCCGGCCGTCGACCGCGGCGAAAAAGCCGCCGCAGGATGCGGCTTCCAGTTTGGGCCTGTCGGTCCGTGGTGTGGCCACCGTGGAGGCGTGAAAGACCTCACGCGGATGGGGTCAGGGCAGGTCGGGCTGTTGTTGGGCAGTTTGGAGGGTCATGGCTCAGTTCTGATCTAGGCGTGGCAAGTCCTTGATGTGCCAAGTGGGTGGTTATTTGAGTGTATCCCGATCATATCAAGCAGTTGAAACTCACCGGTAGACCACTTGAACCCAAACTTACCGCATCAAGTCAGCGTGGAGCTTTGGGAAGGCTTGAGGTTAGCTTGAACAAATCCACATCCTCCACACGTATTTGCTTATAAAGTAACATCAGTGTCCCCTCAATTCATTCTGTAAACACAACATGTGCTATCTACTGTATTTGGAGTCTGGAGTGCGTAAATCAAGGTTTTTGCAAGAAGAGACAGGTCGTTTTGTTTAAAATAATACAGGTCTTCAAAGGAGGGAGCCAGCAGGCTTCTTGGATCAAGGACAAACTTATTCGAAACATGCGGCTACTGTACCCACATTATGGCTGCAAAATAAACGTGTGGATTAAAGCATTTTAGAAAAACATGTGTTTCATTCTATAAACAAAACGCCTTGATAGATCACACATATTCATGTTATAGCCACAATCCCTTGAAAAGATGAACAAATGTTACCGCCAAGGCACAAGAAGGGGCATAAATCTACTTAATGGTTAAGATCACTCATCAACCAACATCTCTTTGGAACCCCTTACCTTCCTCCTCGATCACGTCCTTCCATTGGAGGTCTCTCCGTCGATGTTGCTGTCTCCGCCAAAGATCACGGCTGTGTACCCGCGGATGGTGCCCTGGCATCTTGGGCTGCAAGTGTGGTATAGTGTGGTGGTACGTTTGACCCTCAACATGTGCACAGTATTTGGAAAGGTGTCCATTGTGTCCTTTTTGTGCGTTCATACTTTATTTTGTTTGTTGGGAATACCCAGTTGCAAGCCAAGGACACTGCCATGACTAAGACACACCTTGAGTCACTTAGGCAGAAGTGACACGAACACTCCAGTTCCACAAGGGAAGTACGTTGTGCCCGGTTCTTAGGCGGTATGGTTGATGCCAAAAAGCGGATTCCTCTCATAGATCCCATGCCCAAGAATCCATAAGCAGGACATGTGTTGATCCAGCCTAAAAACTGTTTAAAACACGAGAAACCGCAGGTGAAAGCGGTTTCCATTTTCGCATCAACAGCAACACCTTTGGACCGTTCCAAGTCCCTTCCGAGGATCGATCGAAGTCGCCGGGTCATCGACAACGACGAGGACCGCAGTTCGGGGCGCCGGTGGCGAGTTCGCGGAGTGGAGCGCGGGAGCGAGGTAGCTTCGCTGCGTCGAAGGAGGAAGATTTGGTGCCAGAACCGGTTTTTGACCCATGAACTATAAGTTATACATGTTCTACACTATGTTCTACCATAGGTCTCAGGGCACGGCTCAAAGTTGATTTTTTTTGTTGGGGGGGGTGCCGCAGTAAGACCTCCTGGATGGTCTCTTTTGGTGGTTCCGTCGTGCATGGCTTCCGACTTCCCCAGACGAGAGCGGTCGGTCAAATACATTGGTCAACCCAGACGCGACCCTGGACTCTGCTAAGTAGGGGCCGTACCCTCATATGGAGGGGGTCTGGACCCAAACCAATCCCGGTTTTCAGGGACCAAGGGCTGTTTGGAGCGTGGAAAACAATGGAACATATCGAAGTGCTTGGCTGGAAAATGGGCGAGCAAGGTCTGTGTTCATCCGCCGTCCGCGCGCGGACGAACAGACGGTACTCTCTTTGAACCCTGGAAAAGTCCGAACATCGCCTCGTGGGTGTTTTGAACGATTTGATTAGGACAGACATGTACCTGGAGTCTCAGTTCATACCTCGGACAATGGGTACAAGTATTTGTTTTTTTGGGTTCATGTCCCATTTTCTAAGGTACTTTGGAGGGTCCAGGTAGATGAAAGAGAGTTGAACACCTTTCGCCATCACCCTTTTCTGGTGCATCGCGCAGCTTGTGCACAGCTGTGCTTGTGGTTGTGCCCTTTTTGATCGGGATGTTCACCCCTTCGACAAAAAAAACATGTTCCAACACTTCGCACAACGTTCCCAGCAAAACACAGGTAACTGAATCAACGACTCTTGGCATGTCGTGACATTTCTAGTGCATACCTATAGTGCATATAGTTGCATGAGCCAATTGTGTACTTTCCAGGATCCAAGTCTCTTGGTGGTTGGACTTGGCTTCGTGAACACCAACCGTTTGCGCTGTCAGTTGATCGACACGGCCACTTGGCGGAAAGGTTCATCCCACTGAAGCGAGTTTGGCATTGCAAATCAGAGACATATCACTCTCAGGTAGCTGAAAGCAACCAACTTCTTCTGGCAGTAGACAGACATCAAAGTAATTCACGAGTATTGAAACGCACTTGTCCCATGAACTTGTCCCAAGACCGGCCCAAGCCCTGTGTGTGGTTCGCTGATTGCATTTGTGTCCCTTGTCACTCACTTGTTTTTGTCTTCTCCAAAAAAGGCCAAGCGAAGATCCTTGAGCCTCACGAAATGACTCAGCAAAGGGCGTGTTTCAGTTCATTTCCATTTCACCACTCGGTGAGCACATGAAACCAACTCCGACCCTCCAGCACCCCCACGCGAGTTCGACACACGGCACGACTGTGCTGACCGTGGTGACCCGACTGTGCTCGGCTCAGTTTGGGCACGTGGTGGCTGCACCGTATGCCATGTACATCAGCTCCACACAGGTCGGAGCCGACGGCACCTTCGAGCGGAAACGCGAGTTCAAACTTCAAACAAACAACGGCTGAAGAGCAGGATACCGAACGTGCATGTCGTCTTTTTTTGGGGGAGATACTGGCGAAGAGTCATCCCTTGAACCATGACACTCACCATTTAATAAGACTTTGCCATCTATATAAAGTGCATTAAAACATGAGATGGTCGTACCAGTTCAAGAGTCGATGACGGACGGAGACGTGACGGACGGAGACACATCGATGGCGAACACTTCATTGGTCAAATGGTGCAGTCGATCTCGACAAGTGCTTGTAACAGAGGTGAAGGGTGCAGTGAACTCAGGGCAAACATATCAGATCATTATTAATTAGTATATATGCCTGGAGCCTGAGTGACCTCTGTTTTGAGAGGAAAAGACCATATTTTGGATAGTTGATCTTCCAAAAATAGAGGTCACTCAGGCTCTATGTGTTTGCCCAACTCAGTGACAAGAATTCACAGCACTGCTTTTTTTTGTTGCGCCCTGTTTTGTATAAGTCTGTGTGAATCTGTTTGCCCAACAAAGACTTGCACAGAGCCGAGCTAGCTAGCCGAGCTGGCTAGCCGAGCTAGCGCCAGGTGCGATGTGGCCTGCCACCCTTCGAGCTGCCAGGCAGTCTGGGGCGGTGCCGCAGTGTGGGGGGCTGGGCCCGGGCTGGGGCAAGGAGTTGGTCGATGTCCCCCATTTTCTGCGAGATTTCTCAGCTCTGGAGCTGTTTTGTGAAAGTTTTGATATGTTTCCATCAAAAAGCACCCAATCATATATAGCCAATCCGCCTTTTGTGATTTCCGTGGACCAACACATCAATAAGACCATAGGCTGCCCCAAAGTCACCTTATGTCGCTGAAGCTCAGCTCGTCACCTTGGAATTCTCCCAAAGTCTTTGTCATGATCATTCTGGGAAGCACTTCATGAAAACACTTGCACTTCCAATTCACCAAGCAATTCACCAGTTCTCTCCTCCGAACAGACCAAAACCACCTCTCCTCCCTCGGTCTTCACAAGTCTCCATCCCATCCCGACGCAAGAACCACCCGAAACCACCCGCAAAAGAGACGCTACGAACGGAGCAACGGGCATCGCTACTCAAAGACCCGGAGAGAGAGAGAGAGAGAGAGACGCTTCTGTTCGCGTGGCCGTACGCGCGGCCGTACGTACGCGCGGCCCTCGTCGTCGTACGACGTCTCTTCAGGTAGCTCCAATGTGAAGCTCCAAGTCTCCAACGACGGAGCCGAGTGGTCTCAGGAGATCTTCGAGGCGCCTGCGATGCCAGTTGAGAGCCGAGAGAGTCGAGAGGAGCCACCGAGGAGCCCGGAAAGGTAACCTGAGCTTGGGTCAGTCTTTTCCAGGTGAAACTTTGAAGTGATTTGACAAAAAGGACAAGGAAAATTGGGGGGGTACCTATGGTACAGTGGAACTAGGGTCCTTCAACTTTTTTTGTTTTTGATGGGATTGTTAGAATTTGTTAGATCCAATTATATCCATTTGGATCCGACTGGACCCGACTGGGATGCTGTGTGATGCTGTTTGCGCCAGTTGACCAGGTAGTGGTGGAGGAGTTCGTGCCATGATGTGCCACAAAACCAGGAGCATCCAAGGGGTGTCCAATGGCAAGTATTGTAGGGTGGTCTATTGGAGGCCCTTGGACAGTCCATGTTAATTATGTTGGTTTTCAAAGATCCCATCACGAACAACCAAACAGCAACGCAATGTGATCACCAGACAGACGAACAGATTGAATCACTGAGCATTATGGGATGAGCCAAGTGTATCATGATCTACGTAGCACGGGAAAATGATCATGTGTCGGTGGATGAGCATCATGGAACAGCCACGGGGCAGTCAATATTTTCAACTGGGTCCCGAGTACCAACACAAGCTATTTATGATGTTTGATGTGTGCGTTTTTGTTCTCAGAATTTGATGGCAAGAAGAAGGGCTGACAAATAAGGCCACAACCCGGTTCTTCTTGGATTTAGCCACAGGGTCACTTAGACTTTGAAGCAGCCCTGGGAGAATCTGGGGAATACGGTTTTGGTGTTTTCACTCTACCACGGTGGCTCAGAGTTCTCTAGATAGCATCGATCCATGGCTGTTTTTGCTTCAAAACAACTCAGTCAATTTTGGTGGACTTAAGACCTCAAGAATCATATATCATGATACGATATATGTATACGATTACATACAATAGTAGGTCTCAGAAAGACCAGGACCCCATGGCCCATGGAGGTGACTCTGAAGCTGCATGAATCCAGGTGTGATCTCCAAAAGGTCCGCCCAGTCCTTCGCCCATACCTGGATCCTCCTTTGGGCGGAAAAAAGTGCCGGACCTCAATCCGGCAAAAAATTCCGCCGGATTCCGAAAAATACGCCGGAGACCTGAAAAAACATCCGGATCCAAGATTCTGAAAAACAGATGATAAAAGGTTGGATCATACACAAGCAAACTGCCTTTGTGCCACGAGTAGTTTTTTCTGGAACACACTCATTCCACAACCCAACACTGGAGCCTTCCCGTTCCCATTGCCCTCGCCCATCTTCCGAATGGCCTCAGATCAGAACCATCACTAAATTTTCGCAAACGTGTGCCCAAGCAGAGGCTTCCAAGAAGAAACCAATGAGTATGTGGCAAGGAGCCCCTATTTCTCTGCAACCGTGTCTCTAAAGTTCGTTTTTTAAGAAAGTGGGTTGCTCTGCATGATTCTTATGTTTTAAACGTGTTTTAAAGCTTGCCTCAGGACGGCCCCGCCAATAAAGTAGCAGAACTCATGGTTCCTGTCGAAACTCTTCTTTGAAAAACTTTTCAAAATTCAATCCTTCAGAGGACTGAGTCCAAAAAAAAGCCGGAGTTACGGGAAATTACGCCGGAGTTACGACGCGCATTTTTTTAAAGCAACTCTCTGCAAAACAGTGAGATTCTGAACAACACATGTTCCACAGCCCAAAACTGGTCCGGCAGGCTCTGCAAACCTGCGCAGCTAGAACTATATCCCAGCGCCCCGACATCCTGAAACAATGGGAGGACATGTTTGCCTATATGTTCTTTCAGCTTAGGTACACCCACTTGGGTCTTTCAACACGTGCATCGCACTATAATTACCGATTTCATATGATTTCATTTAGAAGATCACCTAAACTTGTGTCTGCCAGACCCCTTTGTTCTAGAAGTTTTGCATCTTGAAAA